TCTGAATTTTCCTGACATTGTTTTGATCTTTGTTAGCCTGATTGATTGATTGATTGATTGATTTGTTTATCACTAGGGTAATTAAAACTACATACAAATTACTTTCGTTGATTCAGTGAAGTATTTCCTGGAGATCTAATTGAAATAAATACCAGTTTTAATATATGCCATAATCTTCAAACAGCATAGTACAGCTTACTATAAAAGGAAGATGGATTGTATGCATGCATTCCGAATGAAAACGTTTTGCATTTATATGGTGTTTTTCACAACTGCCACATCTCTTAGAGCACTTCACAGGCAATGAAGTCTTTTCGAAGTGTAGTCACAATTGTAATGTGGAAAATGTGGCAACTAATTACCATGTAACAAGGTTGTATAAGCGGCCGTATGACAAGAACCTATTCATCAAGAAACATTAAGTTATCAGGGGAATTGATGAGGTGGATTTTACTCTTAGTGGATTTAGGTCAAATTGACTTTACGGCCCCCTATATTTGCTCTTGGGTCTTTTGCACGGAGATGAGACGATTGCTGACTCTGCAAATTCAAGCTTTAAAGGTTAATGCTCGCACTTCCCATCTTTGGTGCATGTGGGAAGAAAGTGGGCTAAATTGGAAGTCGTTGCAGTGATCCAGGAAGACCAGAAGAGGATGTCCTTTGTGGAAGTGTGGGATGGGTGAAAAGCCTTCCTGGGGTCTATGTAGACCTACGTCGAAAACTTAAAAATATGGATTAAAAGTTAACATATTCTCATAGCCTCACCACACCTCACCCAGTACCCATGCTCCATACATGATAACCTGCACTATCTAATGCCCAGTAGTCCTCCACATGGACCCCCGCCAAACTTCCAATACCTACCTATGCCCCTGCACTGTCCTTCATAATCCCTATGTCAAATTAGTGTAAACCCATGACTTCCATACACCAAGTTTTACCATTTCATCTGCTCTGACAACTCACCTAGTATCCAGTATGGGTGGCAGAACTCAGACCCATGTGCATGTGAGGAAAAACGAAGTTCAATTAAATAAAATAAGTGTATTACTGAAAAAGAATACACATTTTGCCAAAGCTTTTCATCTTGCACTCAATAGGACAATTCACAAGTAAGACCAAAGTACAGGAAAAACGCTTTTTTATATTCTATGAGAAAAGTGCTCGTTGGGTACTAAGTGGACTGTGATTGGTCGAGCCCTTGCTGTGTAGAATGCACTAGCCAATGATGATTGATAGCTAACTGCCAAGTTGTATTTAAATTTTAAGCCAAACAGGGATGACTCTGATTTTGGTCAAGACCTTGCTCTGAGAATTGAATGGTTATGTTACCCTTAGGGAAGAGCAACATATTGTGACATCCCTTCATTTTGTCTAAAGGGTCTGGCAGAGATAACAACACCACAATTTTGACATTATTCCACTGAAGGTATTAAACATTAAGCAATAACGACACTAGTTGCTCGTAAGTCCTGCAATTGAGGATCTGTCTCATGTGGTCAGTTCATCAATGGATCTTGTATCTTTGAAACAGCTGACCAAAATGCTTCATCCACTGCAGCAGCAAGTTGTTTTTGAATTCTTTCTTTATTCCTCTTCTTTGTTGTGAGGGTGCACCATGTTTCTGGCTCCTTTACTTATTTTTTAATTACATCTGTGTCTTATTTGAAACTGTACTCGCTGGGCCCCAATTTAAAGGCTATGCATTAATAAACATCCTTATCAATCTTCAAAACTGGAGTGAAGGAGACATTTTTTGTGGTCACACAAACAATGGGGCCACAGTTTTTTCACAGCTCTAGCACAGTTTAAAAATCATTTTTCAGACTGGGACAAATGTTTGTCTTGACCAGATTTCCCATCCTGCCTTCCTGCTCTCAAACCCTCAATGCAGCTGTTCAGTCAGGTACTAGTTTCTCCTTCAATGTTCCGTTCCGTCACGGACACAGGATCTTTCACAACTACTTTTCATTTCGTAATAAGAAATAATAGAAAAGAACAATTGTATGATACAGTTTGATTAAGAGAATACAGGAATAACTAATGCATTGGCTTACAAAACTTTTGTGTGTGTGTTTATATCCGTATGAGCTTGCGTTTTGTCTCTACCCGTGTGTGTGTGCGCGTGCGTGAGCATTGGTTTACAATATTAACGTTCAGCATTATTATGTCAGAAAATATGGGTGTTGAAATTTAAAATGTTCTGTGATGAAAATTCATTTGATATCAGTTTCACTGGCATGAGCAGCATTTATTGCCCATGCGATGGTGTGGTGAAATATCTTTGTGAATTGTTGCAGTCTGTGTCATGTAGACGGTCCCACAGTGCTGTTATGTCAGACGTTCCAAGATTTTGACGCAGTAACAATGATTATTATAGTTTCAAATAAGGATGGTATGTGAGGAGAAAATCAGTGCATGTGGTGGATCTGTGTACCCAAGTATCAACTCTTTCTGTACAGAAATTGTATTAAACTATTAGTCTTCATAGCAATGTACCACACATCTGAATTATGGATTCTTTATTATAATACAGAAAACTCAAAACAATGAAATCATTTTCTGTAAAATTGATTTTTAGAAGCAAAGCAAGCTATGGTAGCGTAGTTTTGAGAGTAGTTTCATTGTAAACCATCTCCGTTATCCTTTTAATATTTTCAGAACCATTCTTCTCTTCATAACTTCTCCATCCTTCTTTGCTGTATTTGTAGTTTTACATGAATAAATTGAATTGTAAACTGATGTTTTTGAAATTCTCTGTTGTGCAAGTATTTGTAATGGTAGTGACAATTTAGTGAAACAACAGAAGATCAAAATCTTGGAGTGAAATTTGTGAATGTTTTGATTTTTTTCATGAAATGCACATCTATTTATTGGTGTAATGACTTCTGGATCTGGTGCCTGAGTAATTGCTGCCATCTGTTTATCTCTTAGCTCTGACAATATTTGCAACTGAACATTCTTTGCCTGCTTTGAGGAATTGTCTCACTGAAAATAGCTGTGCTCCAGCTAAGGTACAGTATGGTACATTTTAGATAGCCAGGTGCTACAGAGTAGAACTTGAACACAGTCGTCATAGAATTAGAGACATAAATTACAAATATACACCTCCAAACGCAATAAGTGCAGTTGCTGCCAATATCTCTTTTGTGGTACCCGGAACCAATTAAGTACTCCTTTCCAGATGCAGAAAAAATAAAAACTTCAAATGAAAGGTAATACTGCGCATCAGAGCATATGAGTCAACTCGGTCCTAAAAATGATGTTTTTGTTTATGCTCAGTGCATAACAGCACTGAAAGTGTCCCCACATCTCTGAAGACTGCAGTGGTTCATGAAGGCAGGTCACCATCACCTCCTCGACGACAGTTGGGATGGGTAATAAAATGCTGATCCAGCCAGTGACATTCACATCCCATGAACACATTTTTCAACCATAACATGGTATACTTATAATAACATCAGCCTCAATATTTAATGCTACAAATGCATGTTTTACTCACCCTTGTAACATGGCAGGGCGCAAGGAGTCGGGCAGGCAACACAGCCTGTATTGCTAAGATGTGCAGGATTTAAGATTCGCTCTTTGTTTTGAATTCTGGCGACAATTAAATAGTGATGACAACCCACACCCAAACCAGCTGTTCATATTTATGTTGTATAAATCAACTTCGATCTTTTTGGAGGATTTTCTTAAGGATTCAAAGTTCAACCTGTATGCTGAAATATAGTAACTCAAATTAAAATGGCATTCATGGGCACGATAATACACTTCAAGTCTCCACTGCACCCCCACCTGCCCTGGATGTTATTGGTATTGGAAGATGTTTTTGATATTTTTCATCAACCTATTCAGAAATGTTTGAACTGAGGCTTTCTTGCTCAGAGATAAGAATACTATCACTGCACCTCAAACCCTCAAGCTTCTATAGAATGTAAGTGAATTCCCAATCAATGCCTACTACTTGAGTGTAGTTATGTACTCAATTAATATACAGTTAATACAGTGGCTTTCTGGAGATTGGTTGGAGGTTGAAGTTTCACATTTTCTCCACTGAGTGCCGTACCATTTCCTGCAAAGGCTACTTTTCATGGTGTCTCCTTGCTTTATACCAGGAGTTTCACAATGATTTTGGAAAACACCCTTTTCTTTTATAATGTAAACAAGCATGATAAAGTTGAGTGTTCAAAATTAAGAAGGTGCTTGAAGGAGCATGAACATTATATTTTAAGAAGTCTAGAATAGGCAAACATGCAAAACCCCCAACAGCATGCTGTGAAGTAAAATTCTGGAATTGAAGAACGACTTGCACGTTGCCTATCAGATGTAGGGATCCTATTCCTGGTTGTAGTCTGCTGACCCTTGCCAGAAAATACGCTTGTAAATGATAGGATCTGAGTATGGTATCTTGTGCTGTTGCGTAAATCGGTAAGGTGAAGAGTGGGCTTGGGCAGAATACGGGAGGGTGACTTTCACCCCAGAAATCTATTGTCTGTGGAAGAGAAAGGGAAAAAAAACGATTACACTTTCTATTTCCTTTTCAAAATAAAATACAAAGAAAAAATCCTCTCTATTAGTATGTATACATTTAAACTTGAAGCTGCACTCAGTATTAAAATTATTGACTGGAATTTACTCCAGACTGAACCTGCTTTTCTTGAAGTATTCTGGTGAGAATATTCCCAATGAAAAATCTTGCATTAGGGTCACAGTTCTGAGGAAATGCAGCCTTTTTACAGCTGTTCTATATGCTGCATCAGTTGTTGCACAGAAAAGAGAGCCCTCTGGTGGTGGATAACCAGGACTGTTTAGAATGCACTTGAGCTGGTAATGTTAAC